GCATACCAAATGGAATTAAACTTCTCTGACTGTTCATTCTATCATAAGAAATATTAGAGAATCTGCACCACGCGAGCAGCAAACTGATTCAAACAGTTGTTCATATAGACCTCTTTTTAAACCTACGACCATTCTCAATTCTATCTCTTAGAATCCAACTGATGAATTCTCCGAAAAACAATATCTAAGCATACAAAGATATAAAGAACTGTTGACATACTTTACAATCTAGCCAAACCTCATGATGTTGACATCCAAATCTTCATGACTAAATCTTTTATACTAACAAAAGACAGATAAACTTAACTCTCCTATCTTCATATTGTACCAAATATCCTAGTAGTCTCTCTGGATTCCGATTTCTTTTCCTATTCAAGTATGCGGTTTTGAGTTGTATATTTTCAAGGCACATGTAATTGGATTTATCTTATATGGAATGTCGTTGTACATATTCTCCCAAATTAACCCGTACCAAACACAAAAACAGACACAGTCATCTCTCAATCTATCATACCTCAATGTATTCCGATAACTTGGGTTTATTCAAAAAAATTCCTATGCATAAATCGAACACTGAAGCAGCAACCCATTAATATAGAACAGACAATTTTACGAAGAGATCGGATATAAGAGTACCCAGCGATCGAAACGCAGAATTGAAAAAAGCTATAACATGAGATAAATAAAAACTCAGCATCAGATGTCTGGGTTTACCACATTACGAGAGAGATCCCTGCGTTGAGTCAGATAGTTCTATGAGAGCGAGTTACGCTTGAATGAACGGTGACCTGCCCTGAGATATGTATCAACTAGGCGGGTCATGAAAAGAGAGGACGAAGTAGTGAGAGAGAGATTTCCTGGAGCTTCTTCAATTTCCCTGATCGCCGCCTGAGAAAAGAGGGATCGCCGCTGAGAATCTATGATTGTTCGAGGAGGAGGAGTCCCCAATTGGCTGAGACTGGAGCTAGTTGATTTCCCACGTTTGGCTGTGCAAGCTCTTCCGTGTACATGTCGTCCTCAGGCTGTAGTCCCGGTTCACATTCTGGATACTCCCCTCGGGTAAATACTGATTTGTTGCCACGGTGCGAGGTCGGATATTGTTTCTATATTTCAAACTACGTGTTATTGCCGCTTTCAAATCAGCCTCTTTTAAAACCATTTTGATTTTAAATCTCAGTCCGAATTCGCCATTCGGGCGGGAATCCAAAACAACCCCAGGTGATTTGTATTTGACCAAATACCCCGATTTATAAATCCAGGTCCAAATCTATGTATCGCCAGACCTGCTTGCCTATACGAAGATCCTTCAAAGATACATATTATATTTAAGATGACTGACGCCGATTTTATAATCTACTAAATGTGTTATTATAAAGCGCTATGTCAACCATAGTACTCCTGAAATGGCAGTGACGACGCGACCTAGTTCGGGAATTAATACTAAGATTAGGAACCTGATATCCAAAATCCAGCTCCGGTGCCAAACCCTAATTCCTAATCATCAGCTGCCAAATGTTCCTCGCGAACCTTAACGCTACTTCCTCCTATTAACCACGCGCTCCACGAGGCTCCGCCGCCACTCGTCTTCCTATCTTGACGAAGCTCCTTGCGAGCAAACTCTAGACGCCCGCGAGTTCTCAAACTTCAACTCGATAGCGCTTGAAGCTCCGAGACTTTATCTCTCCAGATTCCTGCATGCCCCATTCTCTCTCTTAGGTTTGCTTTTCTTTGCGAATGCGATTTGATTTCTAATAAACTGTATATTTTCTTTTTTTTTTTTGAGGTTGGTAGTATCGGTCACTGTTAGCTACAAATCATCAAAGCTGTGGTATTTCTTGTTTATTTGGATCGGATAATGCGCGGACTCGATTGACTCGGGTAAAAAGACAAACAATTGGTGGGCACGGTTATTAGTAGGATGAAAACCCTAAAAAGTGTCAAACTTTTACTACTGGTAATAATATAGCATAATTTCTAATTGTAATTTTTTAAAAAGCCCTGGGAGCTTCTGAGCACCAGATCAAGCGCCTAAAGCCTTGCATCTAGGCCGGCGCTTAAGTGGCACCAGGCATTTATAGCATCAAGAGGGTAAGGATTCTTTTTGAAGAAGATAGACTCGGATATACAACTTGACCAATACATTTTGACTTGGCTCTCTTCATCAATTATTATGCCTAAGCAAACAATATACCCCTTTTTATATCGTGCGGTCTGCAAAAGCGGCTATGCTCCCCTAGCCGTGCCCAAGACCTAGGCGTAATGGTACTGGAAACAAATCAAATTGAATAAAAAACTACGGTGTTCGAATTTGTATTCATTTAAAATTTTCGAATTTGTCTCTGAATTTCTTTGAATTTGGTATTGAATACAATTGGCTTTTGAATATTCGCTAATATCTATCGAATATTACAGTAAATTTATTTGATATAATAGTTCATAGTTTACAAATACTAAACTATTTAATTAAGAAGAAACTTTTATTTGGTTAAAGAAATTGGATATACTAATCGACTTGGAGCTCTTTAAGTTAGTCAAAATCAGTATAGAACTTAAATTTCAAAATGCAAATGAGCCAAAAACATAACATAATGCATGTAAATATTTGATAATCAAATGAATTCAATATACATTTGTTAAAATTCTATTCATTTAAGTATTAAGATACTAAAAACAGCTCTCGAATTGAATATGACTGAATAGTTAGACAAACAATTAACGAACTATTTGTTAATTATTTGGTTTGATCAAATCGAATATGATCAAATAGTTACAAACAATTAATGAACTATTTGTTAATTATTTGGTTTGTTTCTATGCAGGCGGCCTAAGTACCAGTTAGGCCTAGACAGGGGTACCTAGATGGGCTTCCAGACCGCATTTTAAAACCTTGTCTAGTTGGATAGAATATTTGCTGATGATAGAGTCCTGAATCTCGAGTACCCCCATGGTTGTTCACACAATAGGATGTTTTATATTTTAGTAGAACTTGGACCTTCGTATGTATTCGAGATATTCTTCATCACCTTGCAAATCTAAATTCCATATGTTTTGTTTGTAATACAATGATATGTGTATCAAAATTTAAGAACAAGAATCTTATGGTTATATATTTAGGATAAAATAGAGGCGGTCGTCGGATTGACTATGCTTATTATCAAGCAAACAATGTTACTTGATGTGAGTGTTGAATGGTAGTGTACTACTTAATGCAAAGTTAGACTCAACATTTGCTGATATCCATTTATATTAGTTTCAATGACAGATACCTTACAGTTCAATAATAATATTGTTATAGACTATGCACGCCTTTCGCATGCAAAGCAATAACAAGGTTTTCTTAAAAAAAATTGCAGTTTCTCTATCAGAATGATATACACCGCAATTGACACCTTCTACCTTACTGAGGAGCAACTCAAAGATTCACCCTCTAGGAAAGAAGGTGTAGATGAGGAGACAGAGATGATGCTTCGGTTATATGGGTGTGATCTCATCCAGGAGAGCGGCATCCTACTTAGATTGTATCCTTCTTTAATCATCAATTGTTAATTATTGGTTAGATTTTATGTGATTGTAGATCAACTATTTTATATGTCGTAGTGGATCAACTTTTTGCAAAGTCTCTCTTGTGCTCCTTGATGGTTGAAGACCTCAAGCTGTGATGGCAACAGGACAGGTTCTCTTCCACCGTTTCTATTGCAAGAAATCGTTTACTCGCTTTAGCGTTAAGGTAATGCCCTTTAATCATATCTTGGTGTGCAATATTGTATCTGAGGATTTTAATATTTTGTATGTTTAATTTGTCTCTTTTAGAGGGTTGCTGCTAGCTGTGTTTGGCTTGCATCAAAGTTAGAGGAGAGCCCCAGAAAAGCAAAACAAGTCCTGGTCGTCTTCCATAGAATGGAATGTCGGAGAGAGAATCTACCAGTAGAACATTTGGATTTCTTATCTAAGGTTGTCCCTTTTCCTGTCCTTTCTTGTTCCTTCAGGATTAGTAATATTGATTTTTCATGGATTTTCTTGTGCTCCTTCGTATAGAATTTGCTGTTTTTGAGATTAGGTCTCATTACTTAAGTTCACTTATTTGATTTACTGGCATATTTGTTCTTTTTTTATTGACCAAAGAGGTATTCAGAGTTGAAGAATGACTTGATAAGGACGGAGCGACATTTGTTAAAGGAAATGGGCTTTGTCTGCCATGTAGAACATCCTCACAAGTTTATCTCCAACTACCTTGCAACCCTTGGCACTCCTGATGAACTGAGACAAGAAGCTTGGAATCTCGCCAATGATAGGTACTATTCTCAAAATAGTGGCTAATTGGCTTTTCCTATTTTATCTCAACCAAGCAGTACATTGCTGGTTGCTGGTCTCTTATTTCACAGTGTCCATCATAGCGTTACAGTTAAATTTTCTGTTAACTTGTTTACAACTTATGGATTGCTTTAATAGGCCATTTAGCAACATTAGTTTTGAGTCTTAAGCTTGAAGGGAAAGGAATTATGGCACCGGAACTTTTTTCCATGGGCAATTCTTGCTTATGTTACTTCTTCCATAAAAATTTGTCCAATTTTACAAGGTCTACCGGTAACTTAGTCCAGGTCATTCATGTTTGTGACATGATAAGCTTCACTCACAAAAGTTTACTTATGGCGTGCATTTGTGTGTCCTGGGACACACTTGATTGTTCCTTTTTCACCTATTCTTCCCCTTATAATCATTATTATCATCTCTCAAAATTTTATTGCGTCTGAGTTTCTGACCTTCCATTCAACAGATTAACTTGATCTCTTTCTTTTTCATCGTGCACATGTCCCCTTAGTCTTTGTCACAGAAAGAGAGAAAGTATTGTGGGATATGTTGGAGAAGAAATGAGTTTCCATTTAAGAGGATATTAAAGCTATAACTTTTAGCATGATATAGGAATGTGGCATTAGATTTCATGTAACTTACTTTAGAAGAGAACATCTAGAGGCTCCAATTAGAGCCAGCAACACAACATTCAGCAAGATGAATGATCCTGACACATCCTAGTTATGAGAAATGCACTAGAGGAATATACTTTATAATTGACAATGTGCTATGTTTAGCATATCTGGATGTTGCAATATTAATTAGGCCAGCTTTAGTTAACTTGGTACCGGATTGAGATAACTAAGGTTCATCATAGCATGTCCTTGTTATGTATCTAGGACTTTACACCATGCAGCCCTTTTTGTTGCAACTTTCTCTCGAGCAACCTTTCAATGATGTAACAGTTTATCGTTTGAAAAATCTGTATTACATACTAGAGGTTGTAAGGCTCAGGTTTGATCTTTATTGGCTGACCAATTCTATGCTAAAAAATGAAGCAGGGTTGGGTTGCCCTGGAGGAAGTAGCGTTCCATGACTCAAGTTGAGCTGTGTTGTTTCTGGAACACAAGAGGAAACATGGTTATTTTGTTGGCATGGATTTTTGTATATATTTTTTTGAATTGGCTTTTCTAACAATTCTCTTTCCTCCGTTTTGTCTACATTAGATGGTTTTGGACCATTCCGTCATCATCGATTAAAAAAAGATGAGTATGGTTGGTTCTTACTTCCTTCAATTGCTATCCAGTTTATCACAAGCCATTAATTTCCCATATAATTTATTTCAGCCTAGGGACTGAATTCCTTATGGTTCTTCATAATCTTTAGCTACAATTAGATACATAAGATTAGTGTGTTTCTTCATTATCAACATCGATTCATCCTGTGTAGTTTCCCTTACCTACAAAAAGTTTAAAATAAATTATAACATTCAATAAATGAAATAATTGTTTATTCTGGATCTCAAGAAATTACGATGAGCATTAGGCGATTAAAAAAAAGAAGCTACCTTTGATTCTGTGTACATGTAATTATCCTTGACCTTACTTGTCTTTAAGCACGATTAAAAAAAATCCTCTCGCGCACCTAACACGTGACAATTTAATGATAAAGAACTCTTTATGAAATAATCTTATATACTAATATTATGTTGATTTTTCTTTGAAAAATAACAAAAATATCAAATAAATCATATTTCATAGAAAATATAGAAATTTTCCCTACGGGCGCCTTCTTTTTGTATGAATGTTTACAATTCTTTACTGTCTGACAGATCCTAGTTAAAGACTATTTCAAAGCTCGAACTTCTAGTATGAAATACTTATAGTGGTCATCTATTAGTGACACGCAGATCGATGTTGTCATGTCATCTGCTTCTAAAGCTGATTTCATCTTACACCAGGGTATTTGTATAGGATCGTAATCCTAGTTGATTTCCTTTTTTTCTCTCTCTTTCCTTTTCTAAATTTCTGTGAGCTGGTGATTACTGTCTCTAAGAAATTTTTTCGGTTTTCATTTAGATAACTAGAGTATCATTTATAATTAGTTTTAATTTTATTGTGCTAGGCACATAAATATCAAGAATTTGCATTCTCTTTTATCTTTTTACCTATCAGCACTTATCTGTAAGGAACTAGCTAATATCCTCTTTGCATAAATAAAAGAAACATATGCAAGTAATGGCATTTACCATGCCTTTCCCTTATACTAACCTGGCAGGTGACTTTTAAAGATGCTTTCACAATTGATTTTGACTCGTTTTGTGGATGAACTCTGCCAAATTTAGCTGAATAGGTTGGCATTATCATTTACTGGGTAAAACTAAAGTAATGCTTCTTAGGAGAATCTTCACAAAATAAAATCTAATTACAAATGAAATTCACAATGGTGTAGCCCCTTTTTTGTATTTTTTTTTTATATAGACATATGGAATAAGCTTAAGAGATCCAATACATTGCAATATTTGCATAACTTGCAGACTATCCATTTTTCATGTTTTTGGGTACCCCTATATATAAACTTCTGTGAAATTTTCCTTTATGAGAACTTCTCCTTTGTCATGTTTTGCACTCTTCAGCCTTATTTTTCAGTGTCAACAGATAACATGGATCTTTCTCTTTTCTTTTGTGTAGTCTGAGGACAACCTTGTGTGTCCGTTTCAAGAGTGAAGTTGTAGCATGTGGGGTAATATATGCTGCAGCACGCAGGTTTCAAATTCCACTTCCTGAAAACCCACCTTGGTGGTTAGTTTTTGATGCTGATCAGAATGGCATTGAAGAAGTTTGTAGAGTTCTCGCACATGTGTACACACTTCCAAAGGCACAATATATACCAGTTTGCAAAGATAATGATTCCTTCACAACCAGAACTAAAACACCTGATTCTCAGGCTCAAGTTCCCAAGGTAATATAAGCCTGTAGTCTGTTTTTTCTTGTAAGATCTTTTGTTATATCTGCTCACAGACGTCTTTGTGTTGTATTAGGAAAGTTTGGTTAATGGTGCTGCTGATGACAACGCCAGTTCCAAGGTAGGGGATGATAATCAAGATGCTAAGAGAAAACTAGCTGTTGACAAATTGAAGGAGTCGAAGAGAAGTGATGATGATCCTAAATCTGGGCAAGTTGATGGGGACGTCAAAGAAGATTCTGAAGCAAAATCAGTCACAGAAAGGAGTCAGGAGAGAGAAAGAAAGAGATCAAAAGCTAAAGATCGAGATAGCAGCAGGGGCAGAGACTCTGATCGTGATAGTCGAGGAAGAGACTCTGATAGAGACAGGGACCGAGAGAGGGAGCTAGAGCGGGATAGGGAGAAACACAGGGGGAGAAGTCACCGGTCCAATGACAAAGGCTCTGGTATGATATTAGCCCATTTATTCTCACCTAGTGAACTTTCATGATGATTTATTTTTAGGGTTAATTTCAGATAGACCCCCTGTACTATCACCCAATTGTAAATAGACCCCTATAATTATTCTTGTTAATAGACCCCTTGAGTGAATCTCTTTTCCTTGTGAGATCTATTTGTCCCCCAAAAAAATTGAGGGTAAAAGAGTCCATAAAGATTTGGTCACGGGGTCTATCTGCAACAATAGAACTAAAGGGGATCAATCCACAATTAACCTTATTTAAAATGTGTTTAAAAATATTTTTCTGATGCAGGTCACTCGGAGAAATCCAGGCATCACCCTCCAAGAGGTACTCTCTGAAGCCTTCTTATTTCCTAATATTTGTGGAGTAGAATCTACATTCTCAAAATGGGTTTCATTATGTTTTTCAGATCGTAGCGGATATCACAGCTCTCGTTCCCCCTCTGAGAGAAAACGGCACAGGCACCGTCAGTATTCTTGAAGATGAAGTCACTATGCTTTGTAACGTTGACAAATCTACTAAATGTAGAGGTACGGTTTATTCTGTATGAGATGATCTACAAGTCGGCTGTAAATTTTCTGATTTAATCCTCGGTTTCATTTTGTGCACAATGAGGTGAAATGAAATGCAGCGCATCTGGCGACCCTCTCTGTGAACAGAACCTGCTGTTGTTTCAAGAAATCTTTTTTCCCCGAGATAAATGCTTGTGTGCTTTGCACACAAGTATAGTACTGAATGCTTAGTTGTATGATAAGGGAAGAAATTTAACGTCATATGCATATCTGGGACCTTTTCTTTGAGGGCTAAGTGCTGATATGTATTCGGATACAAAAAGCCATAACAAATGTTGTGTTGTGTTGCACTTTCAGTTGAAATGATTCTGGTGAATACTCTAGCATTTTGGTGCCGTTAAGAAAACAATATTTTTTTTGTGAAGGTGTTGCTCTTCTCATTAGTCAGATAATAACTTGTGTGCATGCTAGCTGAGAATGGATATTGTTGTGTATGGTGCATGTGCGTTCAATAATCCGAATTTTTGAATTCGAAGTAGGATATTTTAAATTATCAGCATTGTTATTCGTAACACTTCAATGCTGATCAATATGGCTCTTCATGCTAGTTAAATAAATGATGTGTTTCTTCATGCAAAAGTGAGAAAATTTTTACGCTCTGATGCTGTCATCGCACATATTGAGGTGTTCTTGTTTTTCCTCAAATATCATGAAGATGCAAATAAGATTTCTTAAAAGAGCCTGTCATTTTTATAAACTTTTTTGCTGATATATCTGATATAATGATTTTGCTCGTTTAATAAGAGGGAAAATAAAAAGATTTTTCTAGAAGAAGTACAACACGAAGGTCATGAGCTAAATATTCATGGGTAGTAAATTATTTCTCTTCTACAATACAAGCAACACAGTGGGTATTTTCTTAAAAGAGGTGCTGAGTCTTATTATTAATTTCATTCAAGGAAAACATAAAAAAGAAAAAGAAAAAAATGATCTCTTTTCTATAGCCATAGGAATCCGTAGCTCCTTTCTTATTATCCACTGTGTTTCTTTTTTCATTTTTCTTGTTTCTTTTCTTTTTCTCATTTTCAGCATATCCCTTGATTCCTTGGATCTCTACTAGAAGAGAACAAGAACAATTTTTCACTTTAGCCCTATTAAAATTTTTTATTATTAAAATCGACCTTTTTTTCTTTTATTTACCAAAACCGACCCGATTTCTTGATTAGCGGCTTAATCACATTCCTAATTAGTCGGGGTTGCCAACCCCGACTATTTAGGAAATTAATTTTTAGGGTTTAGGGCTTCTAATTAGGGTTTAAGACCCTCCTAAATAGTCGGGGTTGGCAACCCCGACTAATTAGGAATGTGATTAAGCCGCTAATCAAGAAATCGGGTCGGTTTTGGTAAATAAAAGAAAAAAGGGTCGATTTTCCCCAAAATTATTAAATGATATAAATCCAAAATTTTAAAAAAAAAATCCCCCAGATATTATATATAAAGAATTACGCTCAAAAAACCAAAGCTCAAATCCCAGACCTCAGATCGACTTCAACCAATCCAATTCCAAACCCTAACCCTAACTGCATCACTCGATTGATCCGCATCTGGGTAATCTCTTTGCACTCGTAACTTTTCAATATCGTGATCTTAGTTGTTCTGTTGATTTTGAACTAATTGAGTTTGATTGTTTCGGTTGAGAATAAAAAGGAAGCAAATTCGTCGTTTGTTATTGCGAAATTAATGGTTTGATTTAGGAAAACGTGAACTTTCTGAACTGGTATTTCAATTGTTTTGATTAAGCTATAAGAAATTGTTGTGTTGGTTCTGAGCTGATTCGGTTAAATTTTGATTCTTTTTTGTTGAGAATAAAAAAAGAATTGACTCTTTAGGAGAAAGTGGTTGTTCTTTCTTCTATTTATTCTGAATTATTAGTTTGAATTTGTTTGATTTTAGATATAAGAATATAAATAATGGTCATGAACAAAAAATTTTTTTCCTTTTTCATTCTCAAAAACCCAGTTGGCAATTTCGCAGGCGATAAAATGGAGAAACTCCAAGGTTCTGCTCGTCTCATGATCGTTTCAGATCTCGACCACACAATGGTCACAATACTCTCAGCTCAATCTCAACCCGAGCACAATGCATAGTCGGGTTTTAATCTCATGTATTTCTTACTGCAGGTTGATCACCATGATACTGAGAATCTCTCACTGCTTAGATTCAATGCTCTATGGGAATCCTTTTACTGCCAAGACTCACTGCTGGTGTTCTCAACTGGGAGGTCACCGACACTTTACAAGGAGCTAAGGAAAGAGAAACCGATGCTGACTCCGGATATAACTATTATGTCTGTGGGCACCGAGATCACCTATGGAGAAGCTATGGTGCCTGATGATGGCTGGGAGCATGTTTTGGATCAGAAATGGGATAGAAACGTTGTTCTTGAAGAGACCTCGAAAATTCCTCAGCTCAAGTTGCAGGTAAAAATTGCAACTTCCAGTCTGTACTATTACTGTCCATTTGATACAACAACCACCACAAATCCTTTATCCCACATTTCTGTTGACGACTGTCTCCTCTACTAAGTTAATCAATTACCATATTCCTCTTAATAGCTTCTCATCACTTTAGGCCTACCCCTAGTCTTAATTTCTCCCTACATAATAATTTTATCACCTCTTCTAATTGGTCCATGATCAAATATTATCGATTCTTCCTCATTGTATCCCTGGTAGGAGTGACCTAGAACTTCCTACCAGTGCATCGATTTCTTATGCTATATCTTAGTTTATTTTGGTACATCAGATCAGACCGTTGCGGACCGCTGAGGGTTTAATTAACCAACAAACTGGTATCAGAGCTTCTCGGTTCTAGGACAGCTTTCAATCCTCCACAGTGGCTTTTGTGAAGTTCTCGGTGTCGATCTTCGATGGCCAGAATAATTTTGGCCTATGGACGATAAAGATGAAGGCTTTGTTGCGATGTGAAGACACGGTTAAAGCTATCGATGGGAAATACCCAGAAGATATGACAAGTGCCGAGATCGAAGAGATGGACGAAAAGGCTCACAACACCTTGCAATTGTCACTATCCGACAATGTGCTTCGTGAAGTTGCCGATGAGGAAACGGCAGCGGGGTTGTGGTCAAAAGTTCGAAAGTATCTACTTGAAGAAATTTCTTACTACGAGATTATACCTGAAGCAGCGGCTATACACATTGAAGATGAAGGAAGGTATACCCATTCAGGAACACCTTGATGAATTTAATAAAATTATCATGGATATGAAAAACCTGAATCTAAAGCTTGATGATGAAGACCAGACTCTCATTGTGTTGTGTTCCTTACTTAACTCTTATGAAAACTTTGTTAACTCTATGTTATATGGAAAAGAATCCATAAGTCTTAAGGATGTGAAGGCCTCTTTGAATTCTGCTGAGTTAAGAACAAAGTTGAATGAGAGAGGTACCGATAGGCAGGTTGATGGTCTGCTAGCCAAAGGTAGAACGAAGACCAAAGAGGGTGATAAAAAATAATCCAGAAATCGTTCAAAGTCTAGGTCAGCCCAAAACAATAAACATGTGGAGTGTTTCTACTGTCACAAGAAAGGGCATTACAAGTCAGAATGCTATGCTCTAAAGAAGAAAGACAACCAACATGGTGAAACCTCAGATTCAGCTAATACGACAAAGGATGATACTGTCGTTGTTGCTGAGACGGTTCTTGCAGTTTGTCCCTTGGATGGCCGTTTCGATAGAGAATGGATCTTGGATACGGGTGCGTCTTATCATATGTGTCCAAATAAAGATTGGTTCACTACTTACAGATCTATAAGTGGTGGATCAGTTTTGATGGGCAACAATACAGTTTGCAAGACAGTTGACGTTGGTACAGTTCGCATCCGGTGTCATGATGGGATAGTGAGAATTTTATCAGATGTGAGACACATCCCGGACTTAAAGAAAAATCTGATTTCTTTGAGTTCTTTGGATTCTATTGAGTGTTCTGGGTGTTCTTACAGTGGTGGAGATGGAGCTCTTAGAGTTACTAAGGGTTCATTGGTTGTGATGAAAGGTAGTAAGGTGAACAGTTTTTATGTTCTCTAATGCAGTACAGTGACAGGCTCTGCAGGTGTGTCCTCTGATACTGATAGGGACACTACTCAGTTATGATATGTACGCTTAGGCCACATGAGTGAGAAGGGGATGATTATTTTGAGTAAACGTGACTTACTCTATGGTGATCATACATCATCACTGGATTTCTGTGAACATTGTATGTTTGGGAAGCAAACTCGGGTCAGCTTCTCGACTGGCTCACATACGACGAAAGGCACTCTCGACTACATCTATTCAGATTTGTGGGGACCTGCTCAGGTTCCTTCAAAGGTGGTGCTCTTTATTTTCTGACGTTTATTGATGATTTTTTCAGGAAAGTTTGGGTTTACTTTCTAAGGTGGTGCTCTTTATTTTCTGACGTTTATTGATGATTTTTTCAGGAAAGTTTGGGTTTACTTTCTCAGGCGCAAAAGCGAGGTGTTCGAAGGAAAGTTTGGGTTTACTTTCTCAGGCGCAAAAGCGAGGTGTTCGAAACTTTCAAGAAGTGGAAAGTACTGTTAAAAATCAAAATGAAAAGAAGATTAAACGTCTCCGAACAGATAATGACCTAGAGTTCTGCAGTGGTGAGTACAATCAGTTCTGTTCAAATTCTGGGATCGTACAACATCGCATGATCAGACACACCTCAGCAAAACGGGGTGGCAGAACGCATGAATAGAACGTTGACGGAGAGAGCTAGGTGTATGCTCTCAAACTCTGAGTTGGATAAAGACTTCTGGGCTGAAGCTGTTAACACAGCTTGTTACTTGGTGAACCGGTCTCCTTCTACCGTCATTGAACACAAGACTCCAAATGAGGTATGGTCAGGTAAACCAAATGACTATTCAAATTTAAAGGTATTTGGATGTCCCGCTTACTATCATGTTAGAGAGGGTAAGCTTGAGCCTAGAGCTAAGAAATGCATATTTATTGGTTATGTTGATGGCGTTAAAGGCTATCGTTTGTGGAGTTTTAAACCTGATTCTCCTAAATTTATTATTAGTAGAGATGTTACTTTTAATAAAAGATATATGCTTGATCATGGGAAAGTTTCTATTGAGTCTACAGGAAATGTAGAGAAGACCATGGATAAGGTGGAGCTTAAGGTGGAGCTTTTAGGAGAGACTTCTCAAAAGTCGTCTATAAAAATTACTCTTACAATTGTAGAAGAGCAACATGATTCAGGCTCAGATGATGATGATGTTGAGACTGAAGAAGCTTATTCCATAGCCTCTGTCAGACCTCCTCAAAGATATGCACATGCTGAATTAGTGGCATATGCTCTCACGACAGCTGAAGAGATGTGTATTCAAGAGCCATCAAACTTTACTGAAACTGTCTCATGTGGAGAATCTGGACGTTGAGCCACAGCTATGACAGAAGAACTCGAGTCACTTTACAAGAATCAGATTTGGGATTTTGTGCAATTACCTAAGGGTAAAAGCGCAATTGGATGCAAGTGGATTTTCAAGAGGAAAGAAGGGATCCCAGGGGTTAAAGATGCTAGATTCAAAGCACGATTGGTGACTAAGGGTTATAGACAAAAGGAGGGAATTGACTACGATGAAGTGTTTTCTCCGGTTGCGAAGCATACCTCCATCCGTGTATTGCTTGTCATGGTTGCTCTATTTGATCTGGAGCTTGAGTAGTTTGATGTGAAGACTATATTTTTACATGGAGAACTTGAGGAGACTATCTACATGTCTCAGCCAGAGATACTTTGTAAAAGATAAAAAAGATCAAGTTTGCAGATTGAAGAAATCTTTGTATGGCCTGAAGTAATTTTTCAGACAGTGGTACAAGAGGTTTGATAATTTTATGCTAAGTCATGAGTACTCAAGAAGTACTTATAATAGTTGTGTGTACTACATGTATCTAGGAGATGATTCTTTTATTTATCTTCTATTATATGTCGATGACATGCTTATTGCTGCTAAGAACATGTCGTAGATTCTTATTTTGAAGAAAGAACTCATTGATGAGTTTGAGATGAAAAATCTTGTTGCAGCAAAGAAGATCTTAGGTATGAAGATCAGGAGGGATAGGAAAGTTGGAATATTATCTCTCTCACAGAAGAGTTATATTAAAAATATGCTTGAACGCTTTGGGATGAAGAGGGTCAAGCCCGTTACGACTCCTTTGGCTCCTCACTTTAGACTCTCTGGTTCAGATTCACCTACAAGTGTGAACAAGAAGAAAGAGATGTCCCAAATTCCATACTCTAATGTAGTGGGTAGTATTATGTATGCTATGATTTGCACTCGTCCAGACATTGCCCAGGCAGTCAGTGTAGTGAGCAGATGCATGACTCAACCAGGGAAGACACACTGGGAAGCAGTAAAGTGGATCCTTCGGTATCTCAGGGGTACCTCAGATTTGGATTTAGTTTTTTATAGCAATACTTTGGGAACCTCAGTTGTAGGTTTTGTGGATTCTGACTATGCAGGTGATCTCGATAAAAGGAGATCTTTGACTGGTTATCTTTTTACTCTTTCTGGCTCAGCTATTAGTTGGAGATCGACTCTACAGTCGACAGTTGCTTTGTCTATTACAGAGACAGAATACATGGCAGCAGCAGAAGTGGTAAAAGAGACCATTTGGTTGAGAAATCTCGTAAGGTAGCTTGGACTTTAGCAGGAGGTTAATTCAGTTGTATTTTGCGACAATCAGAGCGTAATACATCTAAACAAAAACTTATCACGTTATGAGAGGACAAAGCATATTGATGTCAGATATCATTTTATTTGTGAGACAACTGCTGAAAGAAACATCACGATGAAAAAGATTGGTACTGCCGACAACCCAGCTGACATGTTGACCAAACCGATCCCGGCCTTCAAGTTCAAGCACTGCTTGAATTTGGGAGGCATTCACACTTGTTAGATGGTCCCGTTTGGGGCATTGTTTGCAAGACGGATGAAATTCTCTAGCTATTGATGTTTGAGGATTCAATTCAAGGTGGAGATTGTTGATTTTTTGGCTTGAATCCAAAATGGGTGGGACCCATTTTGGATCTCTGGCGGGACCTAATCTTTGATTGTAGAATGACATTTGAGCAAAAGAATCAAAGAAGATCAATTTGATTGATTGGGGGTCACTCTCACTTGTGGGTCCCCCTAATCAATCACATTCTCATTTCTGATCTCGTAAGAGTTTTACAAATCAGACAGGGAGCTACACAACTACAAGAACTCTTAAAAAAATTTCTCACGAGATAAAAAAATGAGAGTGTGATTGATTAGGGGGACCTACAAGTGAGAGTGACCCCCAATCAATCAAACTGATCTTCTTTGATTCTTTTGCACAAATATCGGGTCCTGTCAGAGATTTGAAATGGGTCCCACCCATTTTGGATTCAAGCCAAAAAATCAACAGTTTATATCCAATCGTCCATCAAACATTCTCATTTCTGTTACACTAGTTTTTTGTGCATATTGTTTCTTAATTGCCCAACATTTCTGATCCATAAAGCACTGTGGGTCTTGTAGTTGTTGTATAGGATTTCCCTTTCAATTTCAGGGGGTTTTTAAAGAAAATTTTCAGAGGTATTCTACAATGTTTTTTCCATTTGATATAGTAGTTGATTACATGATCAATATAAGTTGAACTAAGAGAAATCAATCTTTATGGGATCAATAAATGCAGGCAGAAACGGAGCAGAGGTCGCACAAAATTAGTTTTTACGTGGACAAGGGTGTTGCCCAAGAAGTGACGAAGACTCTTTCAGAACGTTTGGGGAGCCGTGGGGTAAGCATAGTCATGTTTTTGCAGTAGTGGCTTCTTCAATTAAATGTATGACAACGCTTGCATAACAAAATCTTATCCAACTTGAAAGACTATTGTTTATGTTTTCATCTATTTAATGTCAACCAGTTGGATGTGAAAATCATTTATAGTGGTGGCATTGATCTTGATATTTTACCACAAGGAGCTGGCAAGGGACAGGCTCTTGCATATTTGCTGCGCAAGTTTAAGGCAGAGGGAAAGCCACCAGCGAACACTCTTGTTTGTGGGGACTCGGGAAATGATGCTGAACTATTTAGCATTCCTGATGTTTATGGTGTTATGGTTAGTATCAGGAAAAAGTACAACACTACATTGACATGGCTAAACTTCTTGCAAGGAATTTGATGCCTTTTTATCTTATTAACTGTTAGGTCAATAACGCACAAGAAGAACTGTTGCAATGGTATGCAGAAAATGCGAAAAATAACCCTAGAATAATTCACGCAAAGGAACGTTGTGCTGCTGGTATTATTGAGGCTATTGGCCATTTTAAGTTAGGTCCTAATACCTCGCCGAGGGATGTTATGGACCTCTCAAGCTGCAAATTAGAATCTTTCAGCCCTGAGCAGGAAGTAGTTATGTTCTACTTATTGTATGAGAGGTGGCATCGAGCTGAAATTGAGAAGTCTGAGATGCCTATTCAGTATCTAAAAAGTATCTGTGTAAGTATTTATATTTACCTTTGCTTTCCACATGCTCACCTGTTTCTTAGTAAATTTTGTGCATTCAGTTCTCAGGATTTGTGACTGCTGCACGATTGCAACAAATGAAGATTGTTTTTTTGGTTGGAAAGCACATAGTAGATTTGTATCACAAACAACTTATAGGATTTGTTCGCTTTAGCACCAAATCATTAATTGGCTTATGAATTTAATCTGTAGTTTGTGAACAATTAGACCTTATCTTTGAAGTTGGGGATATGGTCTAGTATATGTAACAACCTGTTTTGATATTTAGCAAGCTAGAGTATCTGTGTGATGCTCCATCTTTTCTCTCCAAAAAAAAAAGCTTACAGGATTTGTTTAAGGGTAAATTTCACCAAATGATCATGAACTTTTATGGCTTCTGTAGGACATTATTCTAAAGTCTGCACTGTTTTCATTAGAAAGCCGACTACAAACTTTTTTCCACTATTTCACACCTAACCAAATGATTATGTATCTATTATAGCTTCTGTAGGGCACTACTCTAAAGTCTAAACTATTTTCATTAGAGAGCCAACGACAAACGTTTTTTCGCTTTATCACACCTAACTGTTGTTACTAGTTAATGAATGCTATCACTTTATAAGAACATAAACCTTTTTAGACAATTTTACTTCATTTAGTTTATATAACTACTCTCCCATCCGCACCCCCTTATCACACTGTGGTAGAGGTATTTTAGTCTTCACAACTACCTGTTGCATCCGCTTTTGGGGTTTTCTGCTGATTTCAAAGTTAGTTTTCTTTTATTTTCTTTTCTTTTTTTAGTGAAAGTAAATCCATGAGAGTTCTCCACAAAACCCCTTTTAGTTATAGTAGATTTGTGAAATTTCCCCCTTCATTTGATTACAAATTTGCAAGCTAGATGTCTGTTTTGTTATATGTTAACGAGTCATGTAGCCTATTAATGTCTCTTACAAACTAAGACTAATTACACTTCACTTGACAGTGTCCAACTGGAACTGCTGTCCATCCTTCTGGAGCTGAGCGTTCTCTTCATGAATGCATAAATATATTTAACCAATGCTATGGTGATAAAAAGGGGAAACAGTTTCGTGTGTGGATTGATAAAGTATCGGCTTCACAAGCAGATTTAAATACTTGGCTGGTGAAATTTGATAAGTGGGAGCTTTGTGGTAAGTTTGTGAGTTCTTTAAACAGTTGAGGTTTCAATTCTTTCCCCTATTCGGATAATCATATACATTGTTTTTTCACATAAATATCACCTATTAGATAATAGTGTGTTGTTTTCTCCCATAAACGTCACCTATTAAATTCAGGTTAAGTAGTCACTCTGCAATTATTTCTCATCACTGTCTTCTTTGTTCTCTACGAATCCCTTTTGATGTTCTCAGTGCTTCCTTCTTCCATAACAAAAGTTGAAAGCTTTTTATCCTGTATTGTTTTCAGAAACAATATATGTTTGTGTTTGTGTTAGACATCCATCACTTTTTGGATGCAAATACATTTGAAAGTAGAAAGTTAATGCTTAGGCACGATATAAACCCATTTAACAAACATGGAAGTATATGCATGAAGCGGCCCAAATGTTAGCAAGAAATGAGCAAGAAACAACAGATCACTTGAAACAGACAAGAACACATACATATCTTCATCTTTGTCTTATGCTGATAATAGAAGAAGCCAGTACGAACTAGAATTTTGAAACATTAAAAATAAATAGTGCCACAGTGAGACTGGATTTGCGATAAAGAGAAGATGTCACAGGAGATCAAAATAAATTCAGCTGAAATGCTAATCTTCAATACAAAGTATGAAACTACTAGTATAAGTTGGTATTTGATAAGTCTATGGTCCTAACTGGCCTCATTTCCTTTACAGATGAAGCCCGACCGTGTTGTGTGACTACCATTAAGCTGAACATAAAGGTATTTCTATGAGGATATTTTCTTACTTCATAGACTTATTTTCCCTTTTGATACCCCAGAGCTTCCCGATTTTTTTAAGTTTTGATACCTCGAAGTATTTTTTACTCCTGATACTGTCGTTTATATTCCTTTAGCTTTTTTGTTAAATTCATATCACATGCTTCGCATGTGATACTGCCACTGAGAATATTTTGATGTTTGGCTTTCTGGCAACTAGCTAAAATCGACTTAAATGTATCACGTGCCAACAAATTTGACAGAAAATCTAGCAAAAATCTGACAATAGTATCAAAGTGAAATGCTTTGTGGTATCAAAGTGAAAAAAAAGAGTAAACTTTGGTGTACTAAAGTGAAAATATCATAATGGAATCATGATAAATTCTGATGAATCTTTGGTTTTGCAGCCCGAGGCCCCAAGAGGTTTTGTTCTGACGCATGTTCATCAGGCATGGCTCGAAGGATATGCAGCCAGTAATCCGTCCACCTGGATTTTTTAAGTAGTTAGCTTGTCACGGAAACTACTGAAGGTTTGATCTATGAAGAAATAATGATATTACTATCCGCTAATACTCTATTTTGAAGCTTTTATTCTGACAGCATTGTATTTGAAATACTTGTTCAGATGGCATCTTTAACGTCATCCGCTATTTCTGTGATGCAAAATTTGTCAGTTTACCTATCATTTCTGAGGGAAGTGAATAAGGAAAATGGTCACAGTTTTTCTTTTGATTATTTCATTGTTCTACCCTGAAGTAGAGTAAGATTCAATCTGAAACTTGTCCTAATGAATGCAGAGTAAAAATAATGGTGGAGTAGGTGGTCTCTTTTAGTTACATTTTTCTTTTGCACCAAAACTCCGAAATTGGTGACTGGTGTGAGAGTCATCGCTGAGCATCCTTTTTATGGAGCCAGACTGCGTCTCTTGAATTGTTCTGATGCCCTCCGTCGCGTTAAAAATTCTAAGTTGGGTCTGAGTATGGAGGTTTGATGTTCATATTAGCTGATTTGTTAATGTATTTTGAATTTCTCTGCCTAAATATTTTAATCGAAGAATTTACATTTTGTTTCTTAAGCCCTTTTTTTGGCAAGATACTCCTAATAAGTGCAACTTTGACTTGATTTATGCTTAGAGTAATGGAGTTTATGTCAATAACAACATGAAGGAAAACAAATTTAGAATTCCTGGGCATCTCAAATGAGCCATATGATTCTTCTAAGCTCGCTGTATTTTGCTTTAAATAATGTTAGGGGCACACTCTTAACCACACTCCCAACCACACCCTCACACTCTCTATAGTGCTAGTGGGCCATGCATGATATTTTTTAAAAAATATCATGCATGGTCCACTAGCACTATAGAGAGTGTGTGGGTGTGGTTGGGAGTGTGGTTGAGGGTGTGCCCCTGATGGGACTCTTTTGCTTTCTTCTCTGAGACAAAAGAGCAGAGTAAACATGGAGTTTACGCATATAGTCGAAAATGTAGCTTTCTGTAGAAGCCAAATTCTTGTATCCAACGATGATGGTATTTTGCTAAATTTTCCTTATTTTATTGAACTTGTTATTAATCTCTGCGAACTTTCATGTTCATCAACTATGGGAGAGTAGTTCTTCAAATTAAGTTGGTTTTTGTTTCCCTTTTTTTCACCTTCAAACTTTGACCAGCTTCCATCCTCATAGGAAATAAAGGATAGAAAAATTACTAGATATATTTATCTCGATTTAATAAAAAAAAATAGAAACGATAATGATTGTTTTCGGAAAAAGTTGCCTTCATCATTGATTTCATTAAACTTCAATCGTTACAAATGAAATTCAAATAACAAAGAAATAATAAAAAAAATTACAACTTTTCGAAAATAAACACAAGATCCTGTTTTACGGTCTCTCTGATCCGAAAGAATCGGACAGAGCTTCGTCGATCCGCGTGAGATCTAGAAGCTTTAAGCGTATACCTCGGCTAAAGCGAGATATTAGCTCTTCTTAGTATTAACGCCAAGGGCTAATACTAAGGATCGGACGGGTGTTGAAGATCTGATGACGACCTCTCCTCTCCTTGTTGAAGGGCACGACCACTCTCCACTGCAGCAGGGCTTCGCCAAGGCTCTCCAAAAATCCTCCCCTCAAAAGCAAGGCCCAAGGGGGCTATTTATAGTGTTTAGGAGTGTGTAGGGGGTAGGTAGGGGGTCCGTTGAGGTGTTTGATTGTTTTCCCCGTAGATTCTTCGTCCGGACTCGGATTTGAGTGATTCCAAGTGCGTTGGAAGCCTGACGAAGAGTTCTACCCGCTCTGATGGTTGGATTATCTGTAGGATGAACGAGATATGGAGGGCGTTGTTCCTTTTGTAAACACCGCAGGGTTCCCGATTAGCCCGTGCCTTCGTAGTTTGTCGATTTGCTTCAATCGTTCATCGACATTAATCGAACTCCTGTGGATCGGATAGTGACGTTCATCGTCGCTCTTTAACGCTGAACCGTTCGTGGAGACCTATAGGCAATTTTCAATGCCTACAGATACCCCCTCCAAAGTGTTCCGGACTCGTTTCTTTTATAGAAGAGGCTAGAATACTTTGGATGTGATTGGTCTGGCCTTCAGTCGGCGTAAGGACCTGTAGTTAACCTTAACTCTTGGCTCCTTCGATTTTCGGTCTATTCGATGCTTTGACGAATAGCCGAAGTTCTTCCGGCACTGCGTTTATCGCTTGGCCGTCGTCGGAGTCTTGAGTCTGCAGCTGATGAATTGAGTTTGGCTCGTGTCATTGAGTTGACTTTGAACTACTTCCGCCACATTGTGCTGGCTTAGGGTTTCGGATCACCGTGTGTTGACTTTTTTTTTTGTCGCAACGCGTTGACCGGCGTTGACCTAGGGTTGCGCGTTGACCGGCGTTGATCCTAGGGTTTTGAATCGTCGAACGTTGATTAGTGTGGACTTTGAATCCTCGAACGTTGACTTTTATCGCAACGCATTGACTGGCGTTGACCTAGGGTTACGCGTTGGCCGGCGTTGACTCTAGGGTTTCGAATCGTCGAACGTTGACTTTTGTTGCAACGCGTTGACTGGCGTTGACCTAGGGTTACGCGTTGGCCGGCGTTGACTCTAGGGTTTCGAATCGTCGAACGTTGACTTTTGTTGCAACGTGTTGACTGGCGTTGACCTAGGGTTACGCGTTGGTCGGCGTTGACTCTAGGGTTTCGAATCATCGAACGTTGACTTTTGTTGCAACGCGTTGACTGGCGTTGACCTAGGGTTACGCGTTGATCGGCGTTAACCCTTAGGGTTTTGAATCATTGAACGTTGACTCTGATTGCAACGCGTTGACTGGCGTTGACCTAGGGTTACGCGTTGATCGGCGTTGACCCTAGGGTTTTGGATCGTCAAACGTTGACTTTTGTCGCAATGCGTTGACCGGCGTTGACCTAGGGTTTTGAATCGTCAAACGTTGACTTTGGTTGCAACGCGTTGACTGGCGTTGACCCCCCCCTCTCTCTTCTTTTTTTTGTCTTTTTCTTCTTTTGTTTGTTTCCCCTTTTGTTTCCCCCCTCTTTTCAAAATTCAAAAGGATTCCCTCCTAAATTTCAAACCCCTTCTTCTTCCTCCTCCTTCCATACACCATTGTTTTCAAAACTCAAAACCCATTCCACAATTTCGGATTTTTCTTGGTGCTCCCTCTTGGCCGAAAATACCCTCTCCTCCAAGCTAGGGTTTCATCATCTTCAACCTCAAGCTCAAAGCTTCTTGATTTGGTAATCTCCTTCTAAACTCTCATCTTTTTCAAGAAAGATCATAGCTTTATGTTCCCATGAGTTAGAGGATAGGCTCTTTGATGATGGGTTGTGTAAGCACGGGAATTTGGGGGGTTTTATGCAAGGTTGAAAATAAGGCCGAAATTTTAGAGGAGCTTTTATGCAAAATTGCAATATGGCCGAAATTTTTGAGGGGTTTTTATGCCAAATTGGACTGAAATTGGGTCTTAGATTGCATGTCCACTTGGTTGAAAGTTTGAGGGGTGCTTTATGCAAGAAGACCAATGTTGTTTGAGGGGTTTATTTGCAAAAAGCAACCCACAAAGTGTAGAGGGGTTTATTTGCAAAAGGGCTGAAATTTAGGGCTGAAATTCCAAAAGTTTAGACCACAACCCAATAACCAAAGTTTTGATAAGGGTATGTGGACATTAAATTGGAATTTGTGAAGGGGTCTATATGCAAAATTGGCTCAATTCTACAAAAGGGCTCATTTGTAAAATTAACCAAAATTGTGAGGTACCGGGGGGTGCTATATGATCAGATATGATGACCATGACCCAACCCGGGCGTGTCCTTGACCCGAATTTTGGCCTTGAACACGAAGGGTATTTTGGGTATTTCACCAAAATTCACCGCGAAAAATAACAATCATCGTTTCGCATGCACGAAATTTGTAGGTTTAACTAGACTTCAATTATGAAATCCTATTTATGTATAGGATTTTAATTAAAGTTCTTAATTTCCCTTTTAAATTTCGTGTATTCATATTTTAGATTGTACCTGACTTGTTGCTTTTCGTTGCAGATTGGCAATGTCTCCGCGTCGATCTCGACCCCGGAGGAGCCGTTCTCGTTCACAGCATAGTGAGGAAGAGGTTCCTGCGACATCTTCTACCGTGACCTCATTCTTCGGGGGTGAGGCTTTATGCAGCTTTTTCTTCTTGCATCCCTGATTGACCTCTTTGCGGGTCATGAAGGAAGAACCGACACCCTCCTTCGCGGGGGTTAAGGTTTCAGACTTGTCTTGCTTGGCCAATTCAAGTCTTCTGGTATATTGGGGCGATTTTATGTCGTCCTACACTTTATAGGTCGGTGTATGTTACCACATTATTTATGTGATGATGCATACCGTTCTTCCAGTGTAGGACACTCAAAATCGTCTCTCCAATTATTCCGTGAATAAGCTTATCTTTCTTCTTATGAGATGGATTTTCTGACTCTATCCTTGTGTTTTATTGCAGTAGAGTTTCCTGCGGGCAGCCTTCCTCCTCATGCCAATACTGGTTGTAGTAGGTTCTTTGATGATGGGTTGTGTATGCACAAGAATTTGGGGGGTTTTATGCAAAGTTACAAGATGGCCGAAATTTTGGGGGGCTTTTATGCAAAATTGGACTGAGATTTGTAGGGGTCTTTATGTAAAATGGGACTGAAATTAGGTTTTGGATTGCATGTCCATTTGGTCGAAAATTTGAGGGGTGCTTTATGCGAGAAAACCAATGTTGTTTGAGGGGTTTATTTGCAAAAAAGCAACCCATAAAGTGTAGAGGGGTTTATTTGCAAAAGGGCTGAAATTTAGGGCTGAAATTCCAAAAGTTTAGACCACAACCCAATAACCAAAGTTTTGATAAGGGCATGTGGACGTTAAATTGAAATTTGTGAAGGGGTCTATATGCAAAATTGGCGCAATTCTACAAAAGGGCTCATTTGTAAAATTAACCAAAATTGTGAGGTACCGGGGGGTGCTATATGATCAGATATGATGACCATGACCCAACCCGGGCGTGTCCTTGACCCGAATTTTGGCCTTGAACACGAAGGGTATTTTGGGTATTTCACCAAAATTCACCGTGAAAATGACAATCATTATTTCGCACGCACGAGATTTGTAGGTTTAACTAGACTTCAATTATGAAATCCTATTTATGTATAGGATTTTAATTAAAGTTCTTAGTTTCCCTTTTAAATTTCGTGTATTCATATTTTAGATTGTGCC